ACTGATCCGCAAGTTTATGGATATACTGTCTTCTTTTCTCTACGAAATGTACGTAGAGAAAGCGAATGATCAGTGGACACTGGGGAAGATTGTACGATCAGGGTATGCATTTAAGGACTTTCCGTATGCTCGATATGCTACGGACGTTACCTTTCAGCATGCTAACAAACCGAGCGGTAACATGAGCGAGATCTTACGCTATTACAGTGGCAAACACCACTTGAATGGCTACAAAATGGAGGTGTCGGTGCTGCCGAACGGTGTCGCGATTAATTGCATGGAGCACACCGGTGGGAGCACGCATGACGCTGAGATTTTTCGCAGGAGCGCAGCATTTCATTCGCGAGCTCTTCACAAACACTCTAGTGATGCCAATGTGCGAGACGAAGGAAGACTACAAGACAAGTATCCGAAAGAATGGGCGTTTGCTAAAATCTGATATAATTTGCAAATCCTATATGGTCTACCCCCGCGAAAACGAGGTGCAGTACTGTACTGATCATCGAGTTCCTATCTTGAAACAAAATGTGCTAAATCGGACCCAATTACCGTAGCCGCTGTCCCTTTTTTTAAATCGGTCCCCGAGATAAAACAGCAAATGGAGCGGTAATTTTTTAAGAAATAAGATAAACCTTTTAAAAATAATTATCGCCCGCAGTGATCATTCATCCCATCATTTTTCTGTATCTTAGCCTCGTTTTCGTCTCGGAAGCGAACCGTACCACATCGAATAGATGGTTGCCACAGCGTCACTTCGTCATTCTCTCTCTGAGCCAAGCGAAGCTCGGAGTGAGCTCCCCAGGTGCCGCCATGCGAGTCCCCAGGGCAATACTACTGACAGTTGTCTTGATGGCAATATCCGATACTGTCTCCTCAGCTGCGAAGTCCCACTTGACCACACCATGTCTAACACGGCACGATACGAAGAGGTTTCTAAGGGCTCACAATACCGAGGATAGAGGGATCAGTACCCCCAATGTCGAGATGCTGCAGGGGTGGCTCAAGAAAGGTCTGCTCTCCGACGAAGCCGTTGGCCTGTTATCACTCGGTCACAAGGCCGACGATTTACTTAGCGGTTCGCTATTGAGCGCTTGGGTCAGCTACATTAAAGTCTTCAATAAAGAGAACCCTACAGAGAAGATGAAGACGATCTCAGCGCTCACCGCTCGCTTCGGAGACGAAGCTCTGTCCACGATGATTGAAACAGCTAAAAGGGTCCCGAAGACGGAGGACGTCGCTACTAAAATGCAAGCCAAGCAGATCCAGAACTGGATGACGCTTGGTAAAACCCCGGACGACGTTTTTACGCTGCTGAAACTCAATACCGCCAAGTCGCTTTTATTCGATCAGCCTCCAGTCAACACTTGGCTACAGTATATGGACGATTTCAGCAAGGCTAAACCTGAAGCACAGTTCTCTACCATCGCGACATTGAGGAAATTGTACACCGACGATGTATTAGCCAAGATGATCATTGTGGCTGGTAAAAACGCGAAAACTGCGGAGGCTGGTAAAAACGTGGAAACGGCGTTGTTACGCACCTGGTTTAACGAAATGAAGACCCCGACAGATATCCTAAGGCTGTTAAATGCTCGCGGGACTGGCCAGAGTCAAAAATTCTTCGCGTCTATATGGACGAAATACGACGATTTATTCCAAAAAGTGGATCCCAAATTCAAGACCGACATGCTCAAGGACTGGCTGAAGAAGGGGTTGATCACTGACGAGACGTTCCGAATGCTAACGCTGGGCAACGCGGCTGACGAGTTTCTCAACGGCTCGTTGCTAAGCGCTTGGGCCACGTACATCAAGGTGTTTAACCAGGAGAATCCTACGCAGCAACTGAGTTTACTCGCGACACTCACCGCTCGATTCGGTGACGAAGCTGTGTCGACGATGGTTGAAACAGCCAAGAGTGTGCCCACGACAAAGGACGTCGCCAATCGAGTTCAAGCGGAGCAGATTCAGCACTGGATGACGCTTGGTAAAACCCCGGACGACGTTTTTACGCTGCTGAAACTCAATACCGCCAAGTCGCTTTTCTTCGATCAGCCTCCAGTCAACACTTGGCTACAGTATATGGACAATTTCAGCAAGGCTAACCCTGGAGCACAGTTTTCTACCATCGCGACATTGAGGAAATTGTACACCGACGATGTATTAGCCAAGATGATCATTGTGGCTGGTAAAAACGCGAAAACTGCGGAGGCTGGTAAAAACGTGGAAACGGCGTTGTTACGCACCTGGTTTAACGAAATGAAGACCCCGACAGACGTCATACGTCTGCTAGGTCTTCGCACGCCCGGCCAAACGTCTGTAGCCCCAGTTTTGACCAAGTACATTGCGTTATTCAACAAGGTGGATCCCCGATTTAAGACTGAAATGCTCCAGAATTGGCTAAAAAGAGGTTTAATCACTGACGAAACCTTCCGATTGCTCACATTGGGCAACACGGCTGACGAGCTCCTCAACGGCTCCATGCTAAGCGCTTGGGCCACGTACATCAAGGTGTTCAACCAGGAGAATCCAACGCAGCCAATGAGCCTACTCGCGTCGCTCACCGCTCGATTCGGTGACGAAGCTGCGTCAACGATGCTCGAAGCAGCTAGGAAGACGCCTACGACGAAACGTCTTGCTTCGAGTATCCAGAGAGAGCAGAGTCGACATTGGCTTAGCGTCAAGAAACATCCGGACGACATCTTCGTCCTACTGAAGCTCAATACCGCGACCTCTCGGCTGTTTGACCAGCCTCAACTGAACACGTGGGTGAGGTATGTGGACGCTTTCAATGAGGCCAACCCGACGAGTACAACGACGTTATTGTCCACCTTGCGGACACGATACAAGGAGGACACGTTGGCTCAAATGCTCGTCGTGGCGAGGACCAAAGGGGGCTCCGTGGGGCAAACCGCGACTCGAATTCAGGCGGAACAAACGAAACTTTGGCTGAAAAGTAACAAAACGCCGGGAGAGGTGTTCGAAATGTTACAATTGAAGAAATTGGGCACCAACTTCCTTAGTCACCCAATTTTCAATGCATGGGTGAAATACACGGACGACTACCGCAAGAAAAACCTAGGGACATATCGCTCTGCACTGACCACGTTGAGAAAAACCCACAGTGACGAAACGCTGGCGAAATTGTTCATTGAGGCGAGTAAAGTGGCGAAAACGGCGAAAATGGGGAAACGTCTGCATGCTGAGCTACTACGCGAATGGTCCCTCACTGGAGCGACACCCGTGCGGGTCTTTTTGCGTCTGAACCTCGGCAAAATGGACCCAAAGGTGTTTGAAAGTCCGCTGTACTCTATGTGGACGAGCTACATTTCCATGTTCAAAAAGGTGAACCCCACGTTCAAGGACGATCCAGTGAAGATGCTGGTATCGATCTATGGTCACAGAGACCTGACGGCCTTGCTCCTTGCGGCGGAGAAAGCTCCGAGTACTAAGGATATCGCCATTAAGTTGCAGAAGGAGCTGCTCGAGCTCTGGCAAGCAGCCAAGATGGACCCATCACGCGTCTACAGTGCACTGCATGTGGAACGTGAAGCCAAGAATTCACCCATTAGAATGTTCTGGAGTGAGTACGTCAAGGCCTTTAGGAACTCGAATTAAATAGTACTAATATAAAAATTAATACAAAGAAAGTATTACTGAAGTACTATTACTACTTAGTAATCTTTTTACTAACTAATCTTGAGAAAGCCCAGTGCTCTGGGGAGGCTTGATAAGTTTCGTAGCGCCGAAATTAGATTCAATCTCGGCTTGAGTCGGTGCAGGCTTCCACTTTCTTCAAGCCAAGCGCTCGACGAGCGTCGTGCGTTGACGAGGACTCGGTAGCCATGGGAGCAGCTGCGTCCATGGACGACCCCGACGCGTCCGTGGTTTTTAGAGAGGTTTGTGTTCTTGTAAACTTTATTTTTTTAACTAGTATTCTAACATTATTGTTGCAGACGAAAGAGGAATATGAGCGGAGAGTTGCTGCGGGTGACTCGAAGGAAGAAATTTTCTCCAGTCTTCGAGATATCGTTGCCACCCGTTTAGGAGGCACCCACCCACTCCTCCACACGTCACAGAGTCTGGAATCCTTTCTCGTCCAAGATTTAGCAATATCTGAGGTAAAAAAATCTACGTGTTTTTTATCATCGGCTACTTGGTTGTCCACAACTCACCTCTCTTTTATTGTTTTAGTCCGGAGATCTAGAGAAACGTTCCAGCTCGTTGCTGGATGCTGCTACGTTAGCTGCAGTGACCACCTCGTCCGAGAGCAAAGAATCGACTATCGAGACCAGTATCGCACTAGCCAAGACGATACCCGACGACGACGACGTCCAATTGAATCCATTCCATGACGACCATGAAGTCGAAACGCACATCGACGAGCAGGGAATCCTCCGAGCAACTGTTGAAAAAGGCTTTGGACGGGCTGTGGGTTCGTCTCGGGCTGCACTTGATCTGGTGCAAAACCTCGCTCCTGTGTTCACAACTGACGTACTAACTGACCCAACAACGCTCAAGATGATCCTCAAGTACGCAGAAGCCAACAAAGTGCCCAGCGGAGCGGATATGCTCCGATTTTGGGTCGAAATCGACGAACTGCAGCACCTTCCGTCCCATTCGTACACGCACCGTCGACTACGCAAGATTTACGACAAGTTTTTGTCCCCTGAAGCGCCTTCGCCTGTGTGTGTCACGGCGCAGATGCTGCAGGATATCGAGAAAGCCCTCGAAGGAGATAATATCTCCGCTGGCATCTACGCCGGTGCACAGCAAATCTGCTATATCGCGCTGGAAAAATCCGTGTATCCGCGATTCCGAGACAGCAAATTGTTCCGTAAGATGCAGGATTTCTGCGCTCCGGTCGTTCCTAACGCTGGCGCGTCATCTAACATTGGCTCGAGCAATGGACCTACTTTGTTAGCTGCTGCTTCGGCTACAGGAACGGTGGCTGCCAACATCACGGATAATATGGAAGATGCTGAGGATTATTCGCTGTTGGGTATTCTAGCACATCCAGCTAAGCTGCGCTTCCTCAAGACGTTCTGTATGGAAGCATTGGCGCTGGAAAATCTGCTTTTCTACCTGGAAGTCGAAGATTGCAAGAGATTGCCGAATCTGTCGTTCGTGGTCAACAAGACGCGAAAAATCTACGATCGCTACTGCTCTCCATCGTCCAAGAACTTTATTGTCGGGCTGGGAGACAAAGACGCGCTGAAAGAAATCCACGACGTGGTGGAGAACAAAGGAGCTCTCGTGCCAAAGTTATTCTATGAGGTCCAGATAGGCGTATTTAACCGGATTAGCGACGATATCTGGCCTGGATTCTGTCGCTCCCAGGAATATCTGGATCATTCGAAAGAGGTCCAACCGGACGCGAAACATCTGGCACGACGCGGCAATCGCTTCGAAGAGAGCGAGGCGGTGCAAAAGAAACTGGAAGGCTTGGCAGAGCTCCAGCTCATCGACGCGGCCATGCATTATCCGGTCGAGAAGCTCATCCCTATCTCAGTTCCAGATTCTATCCAAGGGGCAGCTCGACGAAAATCCATTCAAAAACTCGAAGAGGAGCAGACTCTCACGCCTGAGCAGGAGCTGAAGCTGCTGTTGGGCGACCCATTCGCCAAGAAATATCTAAAGCTCTTCATGACTCGACGAGGCGTGGATTCTTTGCTTGCCTTCTGCGAAGAAGTGGAAGATTTTAAGCTGCTACCAGGTATCGAGTTTCTCCAACATTCCGCTAAGAAAATCTACCGCAAGTACATTATCCCCAGTGCTCGACTACAGGTGGATATGAGTAAAACGATGCGAGAAGAGATTTTTACGCGACTCGCGAATCCAAGCGTGGATATGTTCAAGAAGATCGCGAACCGGGTACGTCACGGGATGCTGCAGGACTCGCTGCCTCGCTTCGTCAAGTCAAATTACTACAAGGATCTACGTCGGGATAGTAAAGCTACGCCTGCCGATCCCCACTTGGCCACAGTCGACCAAGCAGCAAAAGCAGGAAAGCTCGAGCTGTGCCACTTGGATGTTTTTCTAACATATCCAGGATGTATGCAAGCCTTCCGGAAGTTTCTGGATTTTCAACATTGTTCCGAGAATCTAATGTTGTGGGAGGAGATTGAACACTACCGAAGACTGCCGAGCTACCAGATCGTCCTGCGTTCAGCCAAGAAAATCTACGACAAATATCTGAATCCGAATAATCCACGATCGCAGATTCCGTTGGCTCCAGCACTTCTTCAACGTGTAGAGACGCAACTGGAAGTGGCGAGTCGAACGACGTTCGATGAGGTCGAGAACGAGTGCTACGACCACATGCGCAACGTCGTGATGCCGGATTTCCTGGATTCTCGGATTTTTATGGCCCTAGTGGGGACGTGGGCCACGGTTCACGAAGATTATCCAGCCGAGATGCTACGTGGAGAACTGGAAATGGCGTTTCTGCGTCATCGCTTCCATCTGGTTCAAGAAGCTCGAGGAATGTCTCGAGACTCGACGGTCAGCAACTTTGACAAAGGACGCAACGGAGCGACCCCCACTCTAGGCACGACAAATAGCGGCCGAGTCACAAACGGATAATCCAGAAATCTATTACCGATTCCAGATTTTAAAAATCTGAATATATTTGAAAAAGTCTAAATCGCTATGCAACTACTATTACCCGACTTAACAGAGAAATCTTTAAAACTTCATAGACTCCTACGATCCCTATGCGAACAGCACATGCAGCGCCGCTTGTTGCGTGGCCGGCAACGAGGCCCACGCTTGAGTCATAACTGGTTCAGGCACCGTAGAGCGGAGTCCTGCGAGTGTAGACGCGAGTTCTTGACGTAGAGCGGCGGCCTCCGTCTCGCCCACCGCCTTGCTCATCTTCCGCAGGAATTTGTCCTCGGCCACAGCCGCTAAGACGGCCACCACCTTGCCTAGATGTCTGTAGTCTGGCGCGCCCAGCACAAGCGGATGTCGGTCGTTCACGTAGCCTAAAAGACGACGAGACACCGCGAGAGATTCCTCCAGATCTCCACGAAGAGGAAGCAGCTCCAGCCACTGCGGGAAGAGCGTGGCGGCGTCTACTGCGCCGGCCTGGAACTCGCACAATTTGCCTAATGCGGCCACCGCGTTGTCGGTCGCGTTACGCTGCTCCGAGCTGTGTGCATTTGGGTGGGCCACTACGTTGTGAAGCAGCTGGAGACACCGATCGGCATGTGGCGCGAAGGCCTCGCCACCTTGAGACGCACAGACGCCGACACCGAACGCGGCCGCTTGGATCAAACTGGGCTCGTTAACTTCGCCTAGTGCACTCTCCAGAACTGGAAGAAACACGTCCAGACGACGCATGGCCGGGCCGCAATGTTCCAGTACGTCGTCCACTACAAACAGCGCCAGCCGACGGTCTTCTACCAGACAACCAGGTGCGGCCAGAGCGGCCACCTTCTCCCATAGTAGAGACATAAACACGGGGAAGAACGCAGCGCCGTGGGTCTTGGCCAATGTGCCGATACACTCGGCCAACACGAACTGCAGCTCCTGCTCGGCCACTTGAGTCTCACTGGACTGAGACGCGTCGTCGTCGTCGTCTTCCATGTCGCTCCCGGCGCCTCGACGTATCGCGCGACGCTGGAAGCTGTCGCCTAGCACGACGAGTAGGCCGTGCACTAGCTCACTTAACTGCGCTTCGTTAAGTTCCAGCGTCGAGTGTAGCGCACGTGCGTCGGCCAGACAGCTAGTCATACTCTGCATGATACTCACAACCAGATCCACTTCGGGCTCAGATGTCAGTGCGTTTACTAGTCGACCGAGAGCGAAGTCTACCATCTGCTTGATGGCCACGCCACTGTGGTCCTTGGCCGGAGCACCAGTGGAGATGGCCACGCACTTGACAAGTGCAGGCATCGCGCGGATAGCTGAGGCCCGGATGTCCGAGTGGACCGACTCGGTTAGCAACGGGGCCAGCACTTGAGTCACCTGTTCGGCGTACGGAAAGAAGGCGTCTTTCAGGTCGGCCACCATGCCGGCCAGCAGTTGACAGGCCGTGGCCTTCTCCTCTAAGATGGACGTACGGATACTCAGACACTTGTCGTTAACTTGGGCCAGTTGGATGTCTTCACTGTCCGTGGACCCGCCGCTTTCGTCGTCGTCGTCGTCGCTGGATAGAGTCGTTGGGTCCACTTCAAACTCGGCCTGTTGCGTGGCCGCCTCTAGCAGAGTAGGCATGACGAGCGGGAGATAAGGAGCGAAGTCGTGGCCCAGACACGTGCAGCAACGAGCCCAGGCCTGGAGCAGATAGGTGCGGATCAACTCGTTGCCCACGATCGACGGAGTGGCCTGCATCTCGGCCATCACCTTGAGGATCGCAGAGGCGTCACGCGAGAAGACTTCCTTGCCTACTGCTTGGCCGATAAGACTCAGACACTCGAGTGTGATGCCACCAAGTGTGAACGAACTGGGGGCGTTCGACTGCGGCTTCAGCACGGCCGGCGACGTGGCCGCAGCCTGCATACTTTCCTGAAGACAATTTAGAAGAATCTGCTGCAACGGCGGCATCACAGCAGCGTAATAGTTGGTGAACGACACGCCGGCCACTGTGGCCACGGACGAGATCGCAGTGATAGCTTGTTCCTGGACAACCCGAGCGGCGATGAAGGCTTGTGTGGGTGTTTGGCCCGCTGTTGAAGTCAAGGACTGGCCGTGTTGTAGTAGAGCGAAGAGTTGATGTAACATGTTCTCCAAGTACGGAGTTAGCAGCTCCGGTGGACACATGTCGATAAACTGACGTAGAGCGGTAGCCGCGTGGGCCTGCAGACGTGGCTTGTTAAAATCCTCGAGGTAGTGGGCCAACACAGTGAGAGCTTGTTGGTGGTAGGCCTCTTGGAACTGCGGGGCCTGGTCCACAGACAGCTGGCCGATGACATCGACGGCCGTACAGCATACACGCGGATGGGGATCGTTGGCCTGCGTCAGCAAGTGACGTACAATGGCGTCCAAGTTCTCGTCGTCGAGTACATCTAAAATCTGACAGAGGCCCACCAAGGCCGCGTGGCGACTCACCCAATTATCCGAATGGGCTGCGTATTCCTGAATAAGGGCGAAGCATGTAGGTAGCGAGCGTTTAGCACCTAGAGCGCCGACTAGCCGTTCCAAGGCCTCAGAGCCTACGTCAAAGTTGGAAATCTCCTGGTCGATACCTTGGCCACCTGCTGACTGCTCGTCTTCGCAGTTGGCCACGTCCCATGTGTCCATGTCTTGTAGTTCGAGCATCATCTTGAAGGCCACGGGGTACACAGTCTCCACAAACATGTTCTTGGGCAGCCGGCGACATCTTGACGGGGCCTGCTCGGCCAGAGAGACTAGAAACTCCATGGCCAGTTGTCTACATCCATCAGGCATGGCATCGTCGTCGTTTTCATCACGTGGAGCATCGGCGATTTGCACCATAGTCTCCACGAACTCGCGTAAGCACGGCTTGAAGAAGGCCGCGTGGGGCTCGGCCACCTCGATCAATACCTCCAGAGCCTCCATAACCTCGTCGAATTGCCTTGTGACTAGTAAGGAGTGCAACGCAGCGAGTACGAGTGGTACGGCGCTGGCCAGCATCTCCGGCCGGGGCACTTGGTCCAGTGCGTCCAGGTTGAGCAGCAACATGCTCAACGCACGCAGCGAGTTGAGGGCCACACGGCCCTCGCGTCGGCCAGCCCCTTGGCCATTGTCTGTAGTACTGTCACATCCAACGTGCTTGTCTCTGAGGTCTCGGCCTGCGTCAATTGGCCGGACAAGGAAGATGGCCACCATCTCTAGCACTCGCAACGCGGCCTCGCGTAGCGTGGCCATGGGCGCATTGCTCCATTGTAGCAGCGTCGGGAGCAGGTCGTCACATTGGCCGTCCTCCAGGATACTGCTGGCCAGTTCGCCCACCGTGTCACACACTTTGCGACGGATGCCGCGGTTGTTCTCGCCGGCCTCGAGCACGGCCAGTAGCTCACGCTTGACCTCGGCGCGGGCCAGGTCCGTGGCCCGCGGCCAGAGCGAAACAGCGTCACGTAGAAGCACACGACGCAGTAGTACGGCAGCCAACGCGCGGATATCATCCGGGCTAGACGAGTGCACAACGTGCACCAGACCTAGCAGCAGCTCGTCACTACAGGCGGCCTGCTTGAGTGAAGCAAACTGGGACTCGGCCGCATTGCGAGCAGCGTTGTCGACAGCTAGCAGGCTCCATAGCAGCGCTTCCCAGGAAGAGCCCGACGCTTCCTCCATCTAGTGATACTTCTACGCGACCCCAGTTGGGTTATCAATACAGAAATGGTAACCATTGGTGGCCGAAGCAGGGCTACGACCATTGGCAGATAATCACCTTCTTCAACTTATATTATGCTCTCAGAGAACAAATAAATTATTAATTACTAGAACCAATAATCTTAAATAGCAAAGTAAACCAAAATGGTACTAACTATTACAGTATTTCTCTGGTCAAAAGATCAAGCCATTTAGAGTTTGTGCGAGCGACGATAGTTTAGAGTGTGTCCTCAATTTCTTTAACAGCTCCGTGTTGCTTTTTCTTGGAGTTGTTTTGTTCGTACTTCAAGACTGAATTTGCTGCTGGGCACGAGGATCATGTTCTCGATAGCTTCCGTTTAAAATTTTGACTTTGGATCGCGCAGACGCTCCCACTTGCGAGGCAGAGTCCAATCCCGGATGAGGATTGCGCATGCATTGGTCTCCCATTCGCTTCTCCACCCGTTCTCGATGCGCAAAAAACACTGTTAGGTAGTCGGAATCAACCTCCGACCAGTCGTCGTACGTGTAAAAGTAATATTCACGTCTAGGTCGACTGGCGCGACACTCGACGAAGTATGACGTGTGCTCGTATAGATACGTCATTTCTCCCATCGTCATCCGTCTATCCACTGCCGTTAGAAATGAAATCCCGACACAAGTGACTGTTGCTTCGTAGCTCCAGGCCACGCTCAACCAGAGCGCCAAACAGACTATTGTGACCTTCAGCTTGTTGTCTAGCACGAGTCTCGTCGTGATGGCACTCCAGTCTGTAGCTCTCCATGTATTGAACAAATAGCTCAGGGAGGGTCTTAATGAACGCAGCGAGCTGCTCCTTGCGAGTGCGGCGATCTGCCTCTTCCTGGCGTGTTTGAAAGATCGACTCTTCGAGCAAATGAGCTTGTTTATATCCGTTCAGAATGTACTGGGTGCACCGCGGATCGTCCTTAAGTGAGAGACCACATTCGGATAACGCAGTACGCATCAAGTCGAAGCGATCGCCCTGTTCTTGGAGTCGAGACTCGCTTTCTCGCTTTTAGCCAATCATTGCAATGAAATCGGCAAGCCTCTTAGAGAATGAACATAGCAATTTACGATATGCATTTCTGTTATTTTGCTTTGTGGCGCTAATCTTTCGTTGACGGCTGACCTTCACGGCCAGCATCACAAACCATGCTCGCTTAGATCTGAATATTATCTGCGCGTATCTATCCAAGTCAGCATACTTGAACAACGCATAGTAGCCCCGGAGTGCGTCTCGTGTGGAACATTGTCAATGTCGTGAATACCGTACACTCTTCTGGCTTCGATGGCTGTTATAATTTCTCGAAAGCTCTTGTCCTGTGCTCGGTTGCATGCGAGACAAAGCCCGTTGGCGATTGCAACCTCGTCGTCCTCACACTCGCAGCAAATTGAGCTGACGAGAGAATTGCTGCCCGGGTATCGTGCGTTGGTCATGGACTGCAGCTTTACGATGGATTGATTGCTGAGAAAGCTGAGATGAACGGCGAAAGCATTCGTGTCGCCCAGCTCGAAACAGAACTCGCGGACCTTATAAGGTTTCTTAGGACATTTGTTCTGGTGCAGCGAAAGTCTGCGTGCTTTGAAGGCTTTGAGGTGTCGCAGGGCGCGTCACCGGGCAGCTCTCAAGCTGTCTATCGCTTCTTAGAGTAGGTGTCATGGGGCAACTGACACTATAGTAGCAGTAGACGAAAGAGCAGGTAGAAGAAGTACGTTTAGCACAGTAAGTGCCGGGGCAAAGCTCGACAGGACCGTGGCGTTCTGGTAAGAGGAAGTTGCTTGCTGCTGATAGCAAACGCCGAAGTGAAACACTGCCACACACCCGAGCGTCAGCGTTCCGCAACTAGATTAGCTCATAGTGTTTTCAGTGAAGTCTACAGTAGACATCAATAAGATGCCGTCCACTGCGGCAGCACTTGTGCAGTGGCTCACTGCCAACCATGTCTCGATGCATACAAACATCAGTATGTTTGTACTCGGTCCCGCTGCAGTCGCGAAGTCGGAGTGCAGCACAGCCGCATTACCGTGCGTATGATGGAGGGTAGGATCGGGACTTGTACCGTAGCATGTATCGTAGGGACTTCGACTCATGTGGTGTAGCGGGATCAGCAAAATCTGCGAGATTGCCAGATCCAACTTACCAACTGCGCCCAGACACCGACTAACGGAGGGGGTCTCCCGATGATCCGTGCTCTGCTAAACTTTCCTCACTTTGTGTACCCGTCGGTAGGGCGGGATCTTGCTCTCTCGGTAACTTCCGAAGAGTTCAAGTGGTGAAGCTTGAGTGTCTTGGCGAGACGTGGGGATGGGGTGGAGCAGCAGTGGAAAATCTTCACTCTGCGTCCGTGGATGGTTCCGTATCCTAAGCGAATATTCGAGCTTAGGGATCCGGGGCCTAGATCAAGGATCTGGCCGTAGGGTTGCCTTGCAGGTGTATACCCTTGCCTTTGTAGTTCCTTTGCGTCGTACTTGCCGCCTCCTGTGACGGGATCTTGAAGTTGAGAGCCCCTAGGGTGTAACCGACCAAGTAGTAAATTCGGTTAGCCTGTCGGATCTGCACAAGTAAAGGAAAAGCTCACTAGGTTGTAGGATCTGGCCAATGTATTATCCAGTTATCACTACCAACACTAGATTCTCAATTCGCAACCTTCTCCTAGCTCGTACGGCCAATGTAGTTCCGGTTCTTGAGGGCAGGAAAGCACTTGCGTGATACTGTGCAAATTGGGTTCTGTATTGATATTTAAGCCTATACCTGCCTGGATTTCTACCTTCTATGTCTTTTATCTGCTAAATCCCTTACCAGGCTCGGCTGCATGTCCCTTCTTCCCTTGACCCATCATCCCAGCTGAGTTATCTTCAGATCCACCGGATCCATGACGTAATCATCATAATCACCCTATTATGGGTACACTCATCCGGATCCAGGTCGCTTGGATCCACCTCACTGTAATTGTACACTCGCCGTGGATCCGAGCTCTCCAATCATCCAACATCATCTTGCAACCGTCTGTGATCTCCATTGTCCCACGAAAGTTCCAGATCCACTGCATCCCTCATCCCTGTACCCTGGATCCAGGTCCTTCTATGCGGGATCCTCCCTCCTTGGATCCGAACCCGGAAGTATGGGATCCGGGGTACCTCGCGGTGGATCCTGACTTCTCGTTAGCCGTGGCTACCAGATCCACCTTCGGATGGCACCTACCACCATTCCTTCATAGGATCCACACTCGATCCACTGGTACATAGTATATCTCATATCCATTTAAGTGAATCCAGGTAAGGGTGGATCCGAGATAAGTCTTGGTGGATCTCGCCTTCCCGTACATCGCTCATAGGGGTGGGGGGGGGGGGGGAGACTCTGAAAGGATCAGAATCAGAGGCCCTAGGGTCCGCCTCCTACAAAATATACGCAGCTCTTGACCTAGATTAGAATATGTATGGTGGTATTCGTACTTAACACTGAGATTGGGTTTAGCCCTTCTAATCAGATTGCTTGGTCCGAA